CGATGGAGTACGATCGTTCGTCGTTACCAGTGCATACCCCGCAGTGCCGTTTTGTACATATTGCCCACAATAGACCGCTTGGTGCTACTTGGATGTGCAGACAAAGAATGTACCAAGATGTTTTTGCTGCTGGGTTTGCGATACCACCTAGTTTTGTAACTTCCGCCTGCCAGATGGATCTGCACATTCATGCCAACCACCCCCTAGTAGGCTTCTCCCAACGATGTTTGGTGACTGCTGGTTTAATATTTGGAAGCAAGTATCTACTTCGGCTTGAGTTGGGCATATGACGCAGCAGTCATCTATATAGCGACCGTAAAGCAGGGGCTTTCGCTGCAGCACTGGCGCTTCTATTTTAGACATGAAAATGATTACCAAAGTAGGTGCGAGACGTTGCCCCATTGCCAAGCCTCTAATCTGTTTGTAATATTGGCTCGACCATCGGAATACTGAACATTTCAAGCATTCGTGTAGTGGTGTCATTATTCCGTAAATGCTGAAACCGTGAAAGTTAAGAGAGGCTTGGTGCTCAGATAGCAACTCGAAGCTAGCTTGAAGTGCAGCGTCATTGGATACATTGGTATACAGCGATGTTACGTCAAATGAGGGAAGGAGTGACATGGCAGGATAATCCGCAAGACGTAGTTTATCCCAAGTATGGAAACACGGTGTAACTCGTTCCAGGCGAGACGCTACGCGACGAGACGCGCAGCTGAGCTGCGCGCTAACTCTGAGTTGGGTGCGCGTTTCAGGCGCCCGCGAAACTTAGAGTTAACTCTGAGTTTGGTTATAGAAAGAGAAATAATGCGCAAATGTAGAGATGCAGCAAAAAAGTCCTCCGGTACAGATTTTGCTCCGAGTTTCATTGAGCACGATGGGGGTATCACGGTGCACTGTTGAACACAAAAATTTGGAATTTTGAAAATTTCGGCCCCGGGGGTTGTCCGACGTGCTGATCACGAATCCTATGCTCATTTCTCCCCACTTGCCCACATAGCGAAGTTGCGGGGATACGGTAGTTGGGCGAAACACGAGAAAAAACACGAAAACACGAAAACAAAACACGTCTGAAACTCGGTACAGTGGGGTTATTTGGCACGCCGATCACGAATATGACGTACTTTTTTTCGTCATTTGGCCTCATATTAAGGTTACGGTAGGGAAACGGTAGTTGGGCGGAAATCAAGAATTTTGTCAAAACTTGGTGTGGTGGGGTTGTTTGCCATGCTGATTATGGATATGATCATTTTGCATAAAAATGCAATTCATGGTTTTCGTTAGCCAGCCATCAGTGCCGTATTCCATTTTGAACCTCTCAGCAGTTGCGTGCGCTGTGAAATCAAAGCCATAAGTCAAGCCTCATCCTTACTTTCCAAAAACATATGCACCTTAAAGGCAGTGTCCAAGCAAAAAGTCGATTTCGAGATTATATGCTTACCTGGGCCTATTCGCTATGCTGAATCCGAAAATCACCACTGGGAAGCGCGAAAACGGCCAAAAAAGGCTCTAACGGAGGAGGGAAATTGCAGGTGGGCGGGGCTGTTCACATAGTGGCTTCACCTTCCCAGCTTCAGGAGTGGTCTTCTCGATTCCGCTAACCGCACTAACATCACCACTACCCAACTGCGAAACGCGTGGCATAAAATCGGAACCGAGAAGATCGCTCCTGAAGTCTGGGAGAGTGACGTCGCGCTGTGAACGGCTCCGCCCACCTGCGATTTTCTCCTGCGTTAAGGCCTTTTTGGCGTTTTCGCGTTCTCCATTGTGGTTTATCGGATTCAGCATGGCGAATAGGTCCGCGTAAGCACAAAATCTCAAAATCAAGTTTTTGCTGACACTGCCTTCAAGTGGTTTCATACAACGAGCCTTGATGGCACAAATGGCTAGTAGGCTAGTAGGTAGTAGGCTCTGCCTACTCAAATTTGATTATCATTTTCGCGTGACCTTTTTCAACCATCAACTACCAGCCTTAAGAAACTAATATATAGTCCCAACCACCTTCTTCTCCAGAAATGTAAATGTAACAGATTTTCGGAAGAGATTTTTGCTACCGAAACCGAACGATGAACTATGCTTTTTGTCTTTTTGTGATATAGTTGTGACGAACGCAAATTTTCATCCAACGAATATCGGATAATATTTTTGGAAATTTATGAACTAATGAATAGCGAATAATTGAATTTCGAGAATTTTCCAAATGAACGAGTATTAATCGATTTCCGATTTTTATGTTATTCGAATTCAAATATTTGAATATGGACACATTCCAAAATTTAAACTTTCGAATATTCTTAACCGAACCGGACCAATCCTTTAAACCTTGAAAAACTTTGGATAGCTACCAAGACAAAATCATAATGTCATTGATCATAATCAAAAAAATTTCTTGTCTCCCGCTCTCGCCAATCACAATTTCCTCTCTTTTGTGTATGACTGCAATCTTCAACAACACGTTAACTTCCCTACTAGAGGGGATTCAGTCATTAATCTTGAATTTTCTTCTTACGAATTAGTTGAAAACGTTGCTGTCCTTCCATCTTTTGGCACTTCAGACCATAATGTAGTTAAGTTTGAGATTGAATTTAGTGCGAGCAAAAACAATTTTGTTCCATATCCTAACCTTCGCAAAGCTAATTTTTCAGAGATAAGTAAAGCTCTCGAAGACATTGACTGGTTCACTCTCTTTGAAAACTATGAGTCTGTCGAAGATCTCTACAAACGTTTTTGCAAGACCTTGTATCTACTCTTCTCTAAGCACGTACCTTTTCGCTTTTCGCCAGTTCAACAACAAAATTATCCTGTGCATATACAGAATCTTTTGGAACAAAAGTCCAGACTTTTTTCGCAATTACATGATCCTCTACACATGTATTGTACAAGAAAGTTTGTGAGGACATAAACTACCACATCAAGAGATACTTGGCAAATCGCGAAAGACGTCTTTCTAGATGCACTTTTAAAGAACTTTATGGTTATTTCAGAAGTAGAACTAAAGGACAGCAAAGTATTTATGAATTAGTCGACGATCAAGGCCATCTATTTCTAAGCGAAAGGGATAAAGCTGAAGCACTAGGAAACTACTTCGCTTCGTCCTTCACTGAAGACACTTTTAACACCCGCGATAATAAGATTGCTCTTGGCCATACTATAGTTCGAGTATCTTCTTGTTGCCCTGAGTTTACATCTAACCCGTAAAGGTTCAGCGGATCTTAGAAAACTGAAAGCTACAACGACCTTAGCATACGATGGAATTCCTCAGATTGTTTTTCGTAAATGTGCGCATGCCTTGGCTTACCCTTTAGCTTTGATATTCAATGCTTCTTTGCTATTTGGAGAGGTACCAAAGGTTTGGAAGGAGGCTTTGGTAACAGCTATACCCAAGCGCGAACAAAGCAACGCTCTATCCAATTTTCGTCCAATAAGTATTACAGCTCCAGCTGGGAAAATACTAGAAAAGCTTTGAAAGACATTCTATTCGATTGGTTAGAACAAAACAGTATTTTTCCGTCAAGTCAAAATGGATTCCTCCATGGAGGGTCCACCACTGCATTACTCGCTGACTCAGTTTTTAATTGGATCAGTGCATTGAATCAAGGTAAATCTGTGGACATAGTTTTCTTCGATTCTCCAAAGCATTTGATCGCGAGGTGCATTCCAAGCTACCTTTGAACTTGAAAATTATGGAATTCGTGGACATCTGCTTGCTGGATGGCATCTTACCTGTAAAATCGTGGGATGACTGTTCGCGTTGGGACTAGCTTCTCCAAACGTTTTGCAGGAGTGGGGTACCTCAGGTTGGCATACTGTCACCTCTGCTTTTTCTCGTTTACGCAGCGGATCTGCCTTCTTTCTTGAAACACATTCAGACATTGAAATTCAAATCTTCGCAGACGACATAAAAATCTATTTCTGCTACTCAGAACCAGAGCAAAACGTAGCATACCAAGCAATCTCATCTTCTATACAAAATATGCTTTTCTGGTCTGAAGAATGGGTCTTCCGGTTAACGCTCTTAAAACTAAGGTCATGCATTTAGGAAAATCTGCCAGTCCCACTTATGTATGTGATGGAGTCAATCTCGAACATTGTAGTCTCACAGAAAATTTAGGCGTTTTTGTCGATGATTAGCTAAAATTTTCGTTTCACTATGATACTGTCACCAAAAAAGCTGTACGAACTTCGCAGTTCGTATTGTTCTTTTCTCCCTCATGTACAAACTCATCACATCCTTGTAGTGTAGTCATACTTTTCCAGTTGCAAAGCGTCGATGATTTACATCGTTTTTTACCACTGGAGGAATTTGCAGATATTGGCATCAGATGTGAATTGCTCAAGTTTTTAGCTAACTAACACTAGAATGTTGCGCGCAGCTATGGCTTGATGATGTGATCACGCATATAAGTAGCTGACAGTACACACTCAGAGTTAATCACATTACGACTCTCACTCATTTGCTTTGACATTATTTTACTCATATATTGGTGCCTTTTTCCAATCATATCATTCCTATTTGTAGTTCATCATTAAGTAGCATATTTCTTATTTGTTCTATCCGTGTTTGTTGTTGTTATTTGTTTTATATGATAAGGTTTGATTACCCAAGTTTGAGGTGTGCTCGTGTTGTCCAACACTCAAGACCCGCGTGGCAGATAATCTTTGTGGTTGTGGCTAACAAGTGGTATTCGAAGCCTTATCGTTCTGACTATATCCCGACCACTAACCAATACAACTGGTGCATCGGCCGAACTGAGAAGGTACACATTATTGCGACAGAGACAGCTTCCTTTGCTTTGCTTGCACGATAGAGCTACGATTGAACAATAGAGATTTACCCTCGCAGTTTATTTATCAGCACTTACATCATGACGACAACAATAAGAGCATACAAAGGACTAGTGACAAAAAGGAATAATGTGGCACTGAACTGGCTACAAGAGTCGGCTCAGCTCCTTCAAAGGATAGAACAAGGAGTGTAGCAGCGCAACGCGAACGAGATTACGATGGACATCACCACGTGCGAGGAGTACATGTATCTTCTGGAAGCTTCAGTAACCAAGTTAACGAAAGCCTTCGACGGTCTACAAGACGCCACCGACGAAGAAGAAGATCAACTAGACAAGTACGTGGAGAGCGCACAAGGAACAATAATGAAGCTGCATGCGCACCGGTCCCAACTGAGAAAGTGGCAGACTGACATCACGGAAACGCACAGAAAGGGAACCGATTTGGCAAGTTCTGTGGCAGTCAGCAAGCTCCCTGTGATACCCATCCCTACATTCACGGAGAAGAAATTGGAATGGGACAACTTCTGGGCTTTGTTCAAAGCCAAGCACGACCAGGAGCTGGCAGAGCTCCAAAAAACTACTTGCTTTCTTCTCTGAGTGGAGAGGCGAAGCAATCAATATCTCGGTTCTTCGTTTCGGCAAATAACTACGAGAAAGCCATTCAGCACCTTGCCAAACGATACGGAGACAAAAGTGGCATAGTACGACAGCTGAACAGGAATCTGAAGAGCTGTTCAGCAAGAGGACCAAGCACATTGGACTAAGGACAATTGTGGGATAAGCTAGCAGCAATAGCCAATCAGTTGGAAGAACACGAGCAGCACCTGGACAACGAACTAACAATCGACACTTTTCTGGAAAAATTCCATGTACGCATACGAAGAGAAGCAATGGACAAACAGTTGAGGAGCGAAGAGGGAAATAAACAAGAATGGACACTAAACCAATGGTTAGACGCCATTGATGAAGCCATTTCACGAGAGGAGCAACTAAATGACAGACTCTCGGCAGAATCGCAGCAGATCAAAACTCCGGCACCGAAAAACGTGAGAAGAAGCAACTTGTGCGAGTGCTGTGGAAGTAAAGGACACAGGTGGACAACCTGCCCACAAATTCCACAGCAACGCAAAGGAGGAATTTTTTGCTGGAGTCCAACCGATGTCTAAACTGTGGGTCAAACAATCACAGAGTAGCGGCATGCTTTAGCGGCAACTACCGAAACTGCAACAAAAAACATCACACGGCGATATGCTCAGAAAAAAGGCCAGGTGAAATGACACAAAGCAGACCACCTATCAGTCAATAGAAGAAGCCGGAGGGAGCGAGAACACCAAAAAACCAGCCGACGACAGCTGCAAAATCCTACAGTTCTTCGAAACAACATGCGGTAACGGAGACACTCGGACAAGACACTCATCTCACAAAACAAGGAGCAACGGAAAGTGCCGACTCTCCAACCGTACTACAGCTAAAGAAGAAGAACGATTGGAAACAAAGTAGGGTAGTTCTACTTACGGGAGCAGTACAAGTGCTTGACGCCGACGGAAACAAAAGAGAAACAATCGTCTTATTGGACACAGGCTCGGAACTCTCATTCATTGGAGAGCAGCTCGCGAACGAGCTCAACTTGCCAACGCTAGGTACAACTTCTCTCGAGCTCAGCACATTCGGGTCATCATCACCGAAAACGAAAAACTGTGCGTTAACGCTTTTGAAGATGGTGGACAAGGAGGGTACACAGCATGAGCTGCAGCTGTATAAGAACGACTATATTACAAGCACCGTACAACGAGCGTGCCTCGATCATGAAGATTTACAGTTTATCAAGAGAGGAAATTTCGACTTGTCTTTGCCGATAGAAGGTGGAAAGTTGCAGCCGCAAATTTTACTGGGTTGCGACCATCTCTGGAACTTCATGGAAACAAGCAACAAACTGAATCTACCATCTGGACTGCAGCTGATACCAACGAAATTAGGGTACATCATCAGCGGACGACAAGGAGACATCCCCACGAAACGGTCGATATCGTGCACTCTGCAAGGATATGAAGTCGAGAAGGAGACATGGGATCGCTACTGGTCTTTGGAATCTGCTGGCACAGAAGAATTTGCTGGTCCACAGCAAACGGAACTGCAACAAATAAACGAAAAAGTGCTGGAAAACTTCAAGAAGTCTATCGAAAAGAAAGAAGATGGCTATTACGTACGCTTACCATGGAAGGAGAATCACCCAGAACTCCCAGACAACAAGGCACTAGCAATGAAGCGCCTCGTTAGAACTCTAGAAATGTACCAGGGCGATAAGGAAATGTTGCAGGCATACGATATCGTCTTCAGCGATCAACGTGACAAGGGAATAATCGAAGAAGTAGCACCGGAGGACGCTGACAATGGAGAAGTGATCCATTACTTACCGCACCAGGCAGTGGTCACCCCTTCTAAGGAGACGACAAAGATGAGGATCGTCTTTGACGCATCAGCTCATTATAAGGATTGCCCCTGCCTCAACGATGTGCTCCATCAAGGTCCTCTTATTTTGCCTGATCTTGTCGGAATCTTGCTCCGATTTCGAATTCCGAATATCGCTGTGATGTCGGATATCGAAAAGGCATTCCTACAAGTACGACTGCAAGAAAAGGATCGTGACGCGACATGGTGCATCTGTGTGAGGAATATCTCACTCCCACCCACGCCGGATAACATAGTTATCTACAGGCTCACCAGAGTTAAATCCGGACTCAATGCTTCCCCCTTCCTGTTGAGCGCTACCATAGATCATCACCTAGAAACCACAGCAAATGATGACGACATGGCCCCAGAAATAAGAAGGAATTTGTACGTGGACAACTTATTCTCTGGTGCACAATCTTCAAACGAAGCACTTCTGAAGTATGCACACACAAAGAGGCTCTTCCAAGATCTCAAAATGAACTTGAGGGAATTCTGCTCCAATGACAAAACCTTCTCCAACGCCATTGATGAGGCCGACAAGATGGAATCCACCTGCCCCAAGGTCCTAGGCATCGCATGGAATTCGGAAACGGACAAGTTCATTATCGAAGGCTCGATGACAACCTTGATAGTCCTCTTGTTCCGCAATCGGCTGGGTTTTCTGCCGTTGAGACGTGAAGGGAAAAGATACCAAGCGAACAGTCACACAACAACTTGCTTCTGTGTATGATCCAATGGGATTTCTGGTGCCTCTACTACTACCGGCAAAGATATTCATGCAGTCATATGATAAGGAAGGATTAGATTGGGACACACCGCTTTCAGCGCAATTGCGTGATCAGTGGCATCAAATAACATCAGAAATTGCAACATTTTACAAGGAAGTGAATAGACGAATTCTCAGCAAATCCGATGGCTACAGACTCGTCGTTTTCAACGACGCTAGCCAATACGCAATCGCGGCATGTGCGTATCTCACCTCGCGAGAAGAATCTAACATCATTATGGCAAAATCCAAATTGCCGTCCATCAAGACTTCGATGACGATTCCCAACTTGGAGATGAATGCACTGGCGCTGGGCGTGAGAATGTCTCGCTTTATTTGTGAAATTTGGAACCATCCTGCAAAATCAAGGAGGTGATTCTATACACAGACTCGGATATCGTGTTAGAATGGATAAGAACCCCTCCATCACGGCAAAGCGCAGGCATTTTAGTCACAAAGCGACTATCAGAGTTTAGACGAATCAGCAATGATCTCCGCAGTCAGAACACTATGTGTCTCTTCGGACACGTCTCAACGGCAGAAAACCCAGCCGATTGCGGAACAAGAGGACTATCAGCAGAAGCTTTACAGAACCACATCTGGTGGACAGGACCTGAATTCACCAACAGACCGGATCATTCAAAGCTGAGTACGGTTGCTGATTTCGAACAATCGACAATGATGTCAGTGGAGACAGTAACTCTGAACTCGTCAGAAGAGGTATCTAAGGACGAAGTGGTCGACTTAAGCAGATACAGCACCCTTGAGAAAGCTCAGAGAGTGCTAGTATATGCACTTCGATTCATAAACAGATCCCTGAGTCATATTCCTCACGAAAGAAGATTGGCAATACAACGACACATACCGGCTCTCCCCCCACAATAGTCGGTCGCCTCATCGTGGCGTGGGGGGTGACACTGGGTGTTGAACTGCGATGCACAGCCGAGTGTATACTCTGGTAGGGCCTCCCAAGCTGTGAAGGAGTTCGACGTTTCCGGTTTCGGCCGGATGCCTAGCTAAGAACTGGCCACGCCAGATCCTCCGCCGTCTGGCTTCTTCTGGTCGCTAGGCGGTCCCTCCCCGCTCCAAGCCCGGGGTCAGCGATCGCCCCGTGGAAATCAAGAGTAGGCCTAGTAAGCCACCCTCTTGTAGGGGAAAATTCATATTACTCCTCCAGTTAGAAGATTAGAAAGAAACCCTGCACATCGTATCCCGCCTACGGCGCCGGGTGGTAGCAAGAACGATGTCAGGGTACTCAGGGCGCCTTCGGATTGGACAAAAACGACACGTCTGCCCGGACGACACGCCATGGAGACTGCCTCATGCTCTGCACCTACAACGCCAGGACAGTCTCCACAAACGCCGACCTCCACGCTCTTCTCGACGCTGCAGAGCACATCAACTACCACATCATCGCTCTGCAGGAAACGAAGTCCAGGAAGAAGGACGTGCGACAGATGAGTGATGGGACTCTCATCATTCGTGGTGAAAAGGTTCCATCACGAAACGTGGGAGGCGTCGGCTTTGTCGTCCATCCATCTATCGTCCATCTTGTCGATTCGCACGAGATCCTATCACCTCGACTAGGCATCCTACGACTACGCCCTCCACGTCGGAAGACCATCAGCATCATCAACTGCTACTCGCCAACATCAGCAGCTGACGACTCAGAATTAGATGCTTTCTACGAAGACGTGGAGGAGGTCGTCCGCAACGAAAAGTCCTTTTACAAGTATGTTGTGGGCGACTTCAATGCGAAAATCGGGATGCCACTAGAAAAGGAATGTAGGATCGGGAAGTTTGGATATGGGCTCCGAAACGAAAACGGCAACCGTCTCGTTGGGCTCCTCTCCGCCGCACGACTCTTCCATGGAAACTCCACCTTCATGAAGAAAGAATATCGCCGGTGGACTTGGGAATCGCCCAACGGAAGACTCATGCTGAGATCGACCATATTCTCACCAACCGAAGGTGGAGCTTACTCGATGTCTCTGTAGTTCTTCCATCCTTCTGTAGTGGCTCCGATCACCGCTTCCTTCGAGCGAAGATACGACTCAGCCGAAGACTGGAAAAGAAAGTCTGTCGTAGTGCCGCGAGAAGGAAGGAAGTCGTTTATGACGGTAACAGGCTGGAAGAGCTCATATCAAGTTGTGACTAGCCCATCGAGGAGGACCCAACGTACGACTACGACCGGCTTCTGAAAGGATTGCGAGCGCGGAGAATGCGCCTCAGTGACTTCTGAGAAGAACTTGGACCGCATCTCGAAGACCACCAAGGAATTGCTCGAAAGAAGAAGATCATTGAGGCAGGATCCGAATGCAACTCATCTCGAGCGACTGATAGCCAACACCAGTTGCAGAACAGCTTTGCAAGAGGATCTCAGGAAGTACAGGCAAGCCAAGATACTGGAAGCAGCCGAAAGAAGACGAAGTCTCAAGAAGTGCCGAAAGGACCTCTGCGAATATCACGTATCGCTGGCTGCACTACTGAACGAAGACGGGACTCCGACTTCTTCCCGATACAAGATGGAATCTATCGCGAAGAACTTCTACACCAACCTCTTCCGCTCATCAACACCCGTGCAGATGCCCGTTGTTCCCACTGGAGAAGTACCACCACGAATTCTACCTGCTGAAGTGCGTATCGCGATACAGACCATGAAGACGTCCACGGCTCCAGGACCAGATCATCTTTCCGTCGAACTTCTGCGAGCCGGAGGACACCGTCTACAGGAGATTCTAGCGTCGCATTTGACATCTTACCTTCAGAAGGAGAAGATTCCCGACCAGTGGAGAACGTCAAGAACCGTCCTTCTCTTCAAGAAGGGTGAACGGGAGGATCTTCGGAACTATCGTCCAATATGCTTGCTGAGTGTGCTGTACAAGCTTTTCACGAAGATTATCCTCGCTCGCATATCAAGGACACTGGATGAAGCCCAACCCCAAGAACAAGCTGGATTTCGCAAGGGATTCAGCTGCATGGACCACATCCAGACCGTTTCGAGGGTCATAGAAGTCTGCCGGGAGTACCGATTGCCTCTCGTCCTAACCTTTGTCGACTACGAGAAAGCCTTTGACAGCGTCGAAACCAAAGCCATCCTGTCTGCGCTAGTCGATCAAGGAGTGGACCCAGCTTACGTGAGGACGTTAGCCGACTGCTACAAGGACTGTACAACGACGATGCAGCTATTCCATCGCCCCCTGACCATACCAATCGGGAAGGTGGTCCGACAAGGCGACACAATCTCGCCGAAGCTGTTCACCGCGGCCTTGCAGTGGGCGATGAAGTCACTGGACTGGGACGAGAGAGGCATACGAGTTGATGGGAGATTCTTGTCCAACCTCCGTTTTGCGGACGACATCGTTCTCTTCTCAAGCAGTATCACCGAAGCAGAGACGATGCTGAAGGAACTAAACGAAGTAGGGAAGAAGATCGGACTGCGAATAAATCGGAAGAAGACTCAGTTCATGAAGAACGCCCTTTGCGAAGATGCAGAAATGGAATTGGAAGGCACCCCGATTATGAAGACGTCTTCCTACGTGTATCTCGGACGTTCGATGAACATGGAGAACGACTTGAGGGAAGAACTTAACAGAAGAAGAAGAGCAGCCTGGGCCGCCTTCGGGCCTCTGAAGAGAGCCACCGACCAACTGACGGGCCCAGAGCTTCGTGCCCACCTGTTCGACTCAACCGTTCTCCCGGAGCTCTGTTACGCAGCTGAGACTTGGGCCGACACTGTAGCCACGTCGAAAGCTTTACGGACCACCCACAGAGCGCTCGAGCGCAGTCTTCTGAAGATGACCCGACGCAAGCAACATCTAGTCGAACTTCGCAGCACGGATATGAGAAGAATGTCTCGTCTTCGTGACCCAGCGGAATACGTCGCGAAAGCCAAACACCGATGGGCCGGTCACATTATGAGAAGAACAGACGACAGATGGACACTAAGAACATCGGAGTGGATTCCTCGCGAAGCCAAACGTCCTCGAGGAAGACCACCGACGAGATGGGCAGACGTGTTCGTGGAACGGATGGACCAGCTGAAAATCAGCTGGATACGACTTTCGCCCCTGGAACTCGTGGACGCAGCCACCGACGACGGCCAAGAAGATCGTGGATGTCTGAAGCGAGGGACAGGGAAAACTGGCGACTTTTGTACTGGGGCCCGCACGTCACGTGAGGGCGGGCCATCTAAGCATCTAAGCATGTAACCATACCGGCTCTCGAGGAAATCTCACCGTCACAAACCATCACCGGGATCGAGATGCACGAAAGTCGAATGTGCTTAATTCGAGACCATCAGAAGAACTATGTAAACAAGCATCAGATCAAGTCGCAGAAGGAACTGAATATCGGACAAGACGAAAAAGGAATCCTGCGTTGTTACGGACGTCTACAACAAGCAGATGTACCAATAACGGCAAAAACACCCATCTACATTGCACCTAAAACAACGTTGGCAAGTCTCATCATCTCAGAGGTCCACAATCACTATCATCGTGGAATCGCCCACACAATGGGTACCGTACCCGAAACATGCTGGATACCCAAGCTCAGACAGCAAGTACGAAGCCTGATTCAAAGATGCGTCCCATGCCAAAAGATGAACAATCTTCCATTTACCTATCCCGACATGGAAGCGATGCCAGCAACGAGGGTACACCGCGCACGCCCGTTCGAGCATAAAGGATTGGACTATTTCGGATCGTTAAGGACCAGTGACAACCACGACGGATCCAATAAGGCATATGGATGCATTTTCACATGTCAAGTAACAAGGCTCATACATTTGGAGCTCATGGGTGACATGGCCACAGAAGCATTCCTCAACGCGCTTCGAAGGTTCTTTGCAAGAAGAGGAGTACCGCAGACTATCACTTCTGACAATGCACCAACATTCCTGTTTGGGGAGCAAATCCTGAAAGACGCCACAGAAAATATGGTTAATAGCACTGAATTAGGAAGCGAAATAGCACGGCGAGAGATTAGATGGAATCATATAACGCCTTATGCACCGTGGCAGGGTGGATTTTATGAAAGGCTTATCCGCTCCATCAAAAACTCGCTATACAAAACGCTTGGAGTACGAAGCATCAGTTTTGATGGCCTCAGGACCATGCTCACGGAGATAGAAGCGGTTTTGAACTCGCAACCTCTAACTTATCAAGAGGAGAAATGGGAAGAACAACCAATACTTCGACCCATAGACTTCATTCAAAACAAGATGACTCTGGATTATCCTCTGGAATACATAGGTAAAGAAGGACAAGACAGAATTTATCACACTCCAGAAGAAGCACAACAACTAGCTACACAACGTCAAGCTGAAGCCGCGCTGAAGACATCTGTAGACTTGACTGAAAGGTTCTGGAAAGTCTGGACTGAACAGTACCTTACGAGCCTAAGAGAACAGCATAGAATTCGGATGAACGAGAAGCGCGGAACAAGAAAATTGCCGAAGGAAGGAGATATCTTACTCTTGTGGGACGCAGTACAGCCCAGGAACACATGGAGGACCGCACGAATCGTACAAGTGGATGAATCCCCTCACAAAGCGACGAGAGAAGTCGTCGTGGAAACGCCAAACAAGCGACGCTTACGACGACCTATAAATCGAGTAGTACCTCTAGAAATCGACAGAGAAGAAATTCCGAGAAACTCCTTCCTATCGAAAGTACCAGCTACTCGATACAATCTCCTTTCAAGACGTCCTACCAATTATACCGAAGAGGAAGAACAAGAACCGACGCGCAGAAAAGCCTTAACTTCCGCCTCATCGCTGCTCATGGTAGCTCTACTTTCATTGTGCGTGACGAAAACAGCGGGATCGAAGCAACGGGAGCTACCAACTCCAGTGCATTGAAGGAGGAGTGTCTCTTCTGCAAGCAAATCTACGGCCCTACGAAATTTGTGCAGAAGACTTTTGTATGGAATTCAAAACGCCGCGTTAACAGGAGATAGTAAGATTTCCTCCACAGATTACTCTGCACGAACAACTCGTCAAATGAAAAATCTTCGACGGTGAAGAAGTTCACATAATGGAGACAACGTGCAAGGCAGCACCATTTTGCGAACAGATAGACTGCACCTTCTGCGCAGTGATGGTGGGCAATCCAGAATGCTGGCCACGCACGGCTATACTAGTCACCGGGTTGCTGGTATACTTGGCGGTAACCATATGCTACTTCCTGTTTCACGTGCCAGTGCTGCTAGGAACACCGATACTCTATGGACTAAAGCTGGCAGAAATGTGTGGATGGCTGATGTTCAGGTTACTATGCCGATTGCTGAAAATCGCAACGGGCAACGACCGACGAAGAAGAAGAAGAGCATGGATGAGAGATGTTGTTCTTCTTACGATCCTCTGTATTAGTAGACTAGCAGCCGGATGCCAAGATATCGACGTGCTGACGCATCATACTCAGGCATGCACACAACTTGGAGACGAGGAATACTGCACAGATGACACCACAGAGGTACTGAAGATCAACCCTTTCAAGCAAGAAGCCTGTATGAGACTTACAAGCAACCAGACCAGTATCCTGGAAATCAAGCTGGCGTGGAAGAACCTCAATTTGTTTTGCGAAAAGGAAACTCTCATGTTTTCTAGGAGCACTAGATATGCACTTCTGGATAGCAAACGCTGCCCCCATGCCGGATCATGTACAGGAGAAAAATGCGCAGGGATACACCGGACATCAAAGGTGGCAGAATTGTCAACGACTATCCGGTATCACTGGATGTGTCGAAAGCTGTGGAGGACCAGGTTGCGATTGCTTTTATCCAAGCTCGGGATGCCTATTTTACAGAATATATCTTGTTCCCACGGATGACCATGTGTACGAGATCTTCAGATGCCCACACTGGAAGCAATCGATAGAACTACGACTTACCGTAAACGAGCAAGGTTTCTTGCAGCGAACCCACAATTTTCACGTTATCCCGAATCAACCGAGAAACATATCACCGTTTACAATCACCCTTTCATCACTGAGCACGACACCTACGCCAGCATTGAACTCAATCTTTATCACAGATGGGAGGCGACATGCCATTATGGATGCACACCAGGAGCCGCCGCTAGTATATAGAACATGGGAAGACGCGCGGAACCTTACTTGTGATGTGTACGAAGACTGCAAATGTACAGCTGCCGAAATCAAGATGATGTGCGACTGCAAGGAGGTAAATCTCACTTCCTTGATCAGCACCCCACGAAGCAAACTGCCGATTATACGACCTAATCTCGAATTTCGCATCATCGACGAAAGGATCACAGCTCGCATACCACAGCTGCCAACCGCTGAATTTATACTCTGAATGAGTGGCAAAGTTCGCACCATGTCTTTGAGATCCGACGCCACGTGCACTATTGCGAACGCGTACTGCACAGGATGCTACAATTGTGCGAAAGGCGCAACAGCATTGCTCACGTGCATAGCTTCAGTAGCGACAACAAAAGCCGAAGTCCAATGTGAAGACAGCTATTTTGTCATCCCATGCAGTAATAAGGAAGGAACGGAAAGCAATATCACGTTTATCGCTGATAAAGCACAGTTTCACAGGAACTGCACGGTACAATGTGGGAAAGAGCAAGCTGCATTTGAGATCTCAGGCATTCTTCACTATACCGGTAACCAGATATGGCGGCGAGAAGAGTATTGCAAGGAGAAAGCGAACTGTTTTCCGAGATCAATTTACCCGACTTCACGCACTTAGCGCAGACATTCCTGATGTGGGGCAGTGTACTAGGAGCGACAGCACTGGTTGTAATAATCGCCTTGTTGATAACGTGCTTCTACGCCTCCAATACTTGTGTATTCTCGGTCATTAGAGCCCTCTGTGGATTACTCTATGCAATGGCTAAATCAGCATATCGAATGTTTCTACTCTGCTGGCTGTTACCCTACCGATTTCTTCGAAATCTCTGTTCATTCAGGAAGAAGAAACCAGAAAAAAAGAACTCATGAGATTACCGAAGAGTACAACCACAGCGACAGCGCAGCAACGACAAACTAGCCAGTCTCAAACACTTTGGTGAGGCCGGAGTATACGAACTTCGCAGTTCGTATTGTTTTTTTCTCCATCATGTACAAACTCATCACATCCTTGTAGTGTAGTCATACTTTCCCAGTTGCAACGCGTCGATGATTTACTTCGTTTTTTACCACTGGAGGAATTTGCAGATGTTGGCATCAGATATGAATTGCTCATGTTTTTAGCTAACTAACATTAGAATGTCGCGCGCAGCTGTGGCTTGATGATGTGATCACGCATATAAGTAGCTGACAGAACACACTTAGAGTTAATCACATTACGACTCTCACTCATTTTCTTTGACATTATTTTACTCAGACAATCAAATGCTTTCAGCCGGCAGCCACAAAGCCACCGCCTAGACCCACCAAAAGCGCGGTGGCCTCATCGCCTCACTGTCGCTTCCCGCTGAGAGCTTTGTCGGAGTTTTGTCGGAGCTTGTCGGAGCGGGCTCAGCGGGCAGCGAGCCCGCTCCGACAAGCTCCGACAAAGCTCTCAGCGGGAAGCGACAGTGGCTGCGATAAGGCAACGACGCTTTTGGTGGGGCCCGCTGAGAGCCTGTGATTGTCTGAGTACTCATATATTGGTGCCTTTTTCCAATCATATCATTCCTATCTGTGGTTCATCATTAAGTAGTATATTTTGTTATTTGTTCTATCCGTGTTTGTTGTTGTTATTTGTTTTATATGATAAGGTTTAATTACCCAAGTTTGAGGTGTGCTCGTGTTGTCCAACGCTCAAGACCCGCGTGGCAGATTATCTTTGGTTGTGGTTCACAAGTGGTATTCGAAGCCTTATAGTTCTGACTATATCCCAGACCACCAACCAATACAAAAACACTTTCAGTTCTATTTATCATACTTAGAAGCATTCACTGTAACGATGCAAAGATCTTGATCAGAATGTACAAGACTTTTGTTTTACCTCTTATGGAATACGGATCTCCATCTGGAGTCCTTTCTCCAAGAAAAATACGGAAAAACTAGAAAAAGTGCAAAAAACTTTCACTAGAACAGTTTTTTACGGATGCTTCCCGAATTCTGACTATCCTCAATCCTTGCCCCCTTACAGTGACAGACTTTTTGCCTTAGGTCTACGAAGTCTAAAAAACAGACGTATATGCAATGATCTAGTCTTTTGCTTCCGCATCCTGAGGTTGGAAAACAGATTAATACCTAGTAAATACTGGTTCAGGCCCTGCAGCATTCGCACAGCTGCATTTTGCATCGGATACCGCAAATTGGGAAATAGATTTCTTTCCAATGCCTTTAATTCATTCGTTTGCCGCACAATGTCAAGATAGCTTAGCCTGTTGCCGAGCGAAATAGTCTCTTGCAAGAATTCTGAAGAATTTCGGAGAAGACTAGCATCTGTAAACGTTTTGCAAACTTTGAATATTGGTGGCTACTAAAGATTCGTTGACATCTCCTTGTTTTGCAAGGATTTGTTAATAATGACCTCTTTCGCCAAAATTCGTTGATAATCGCCGGTTTTGCTAGAAACTTTCTAATTCGTCTACTATGACAGCAAGATTTTTCTCTAATTCGTCTACTATGACAGCAAGATTTTCCTCTAATTCGTCTACTATGACAGCAAGATTTTCCCGTTTTGACTGAATTGCTCAATGAAAACACCGGAAATTCGTGGAACTCGCTTCCATGCGCGTTGTGTGGTACTTATTCGCTTGCGTTTGCAACAGCGAAATTGTGGTCGCTCTCGCGTTTGGTGATCGATGCCCCACGTCATCACCTTGTGTGACCTTTCGCACGCATAAACGTGTTTGATTCTGTCACCGCTATATGCTCAGTTGAGAGATTAAGCCAAGCGTGTCAAACGCATTTCCAAAAAGTAGTCATGATGATTTTGAAGGGATTTTGATGATATTCACTGGCATTTCGCATGATGACTTACAATTTCCATAGTTTACTATCTTTTAAAGAGTTTGGAAAAGTTCTCTTGGCATGGAATAGCCGTTTGAGGATATCGAAGATAAGTGAGCGCTTTACCTAGAGGTCCCCCTTCTTGTCGCCGAAGGTCCCTGACGGATTTGTCCGCCCGGGTTAAGTTGGTCAGCCGAGCCCTGGTAATTTCTGACCTTATAATGCGTTCGGGTAAGGGAAAAGAAACTCGGCAGAGCCCTACTCACTTTTTGGAGAAGGAGAACGACCTGATCAATCCGGCAAGGGACAAGTGATCCAATCCCAGTTGTTGCGTTCTGTGTTGTGTTTTTTCTTTCTTTTTTGTTCTGTTTCGGTGCACTCCTGTGTATTAAATAAACAAGTAAATAATGGCCTAACCCGCGCAAATCCTGATACAGGTTTGATCCTGTTTCAGTGTCCTCTTAGGCTGTATATTGGAACGCATCTGCCCTTACCTGCAACAGCAACAGTGACGAGCAACAGAAACAGAATCACAATATTGCAGTGAGACACATACAAAATCAGTTGAAATCGCTAATTTTAGCTATGAGGCTTGCACGTTTTCACCAGAAAAATGCTAAATATCTTCGCCAGTTGCACTAGGTTTGCTGTTTCCACTGTGCTACCTTCCCCCAAAATGTGAAGTGCTTGGAAAGCGCTGGCTCAGAAAGCGTGAGGTAATCTTGAATCAATTACCCTCTGGCATGGTGGTTGCTTTCCTCAAGGTTCTGGGGCTTGTTGAAGGTCAGCCGAAAACAGAGCAAACTCAGACAGTTTGAAATATGCATGCTCTTTGAAGCAATGAAAGCAAATCAAGGTTTGCATCTACAGCACATGACATATCAACAAGAGGGTTTATTAATCACACTTGACCAATCAGGCCAAGTCAGGATCAGGACGAGAGTAATCTGGAGCCGGTATCTTAACAAACTGCAGAAGAGAATTGCTGGTGCAATTCTTGATGCACGCGGAATAAACACCAAAGTCTCCTTTCTCGAGTTGTTCTTGACACTCCTGCTTGCACTGCAAAATTATTGATTTAGATTCCAGCAACTTAGATTATATAAAGTATTGGAACTTACGAAGTTTGCTAGTTGTTTTATCTGTTCGAAATTAATGTTGGCAGCAACAGTGACGAACAACAGAAACAGAACCACAATATTGGAAGACATTGACTGAAATAAGAAAAAAGCCCTTCACAGTTTTTTTTAGAAATTACTCTTTTGGTGAACTTCGAAACCTTCTCAGGCCCGTATGCACTAATATCCCTGCAGCGAGGGAAGCGGCAACCCCAATGATGAAGAGCTCAGCGGCGTCCGCATGCCACTTCATGAGAAGGTCGCCACTCTTCTCTGCGGGGATATTAATGCATACGGGCCTTAGGATGTACGTAAATAGGAGACACGCCAGTTGTAAGCCTAATGTTTCTATGTTGTTTTCTTGCAAAGAATTTTTTGCATTTTTATTTTTAGTAGTGTAGCTGACTCGTCAAAGTACAACGGTTGACAGAAAGTTGAGAAATGTTGCACTTTCATATTTCAGCACGGACGCTAATATCCTTATGCCTTCATTCCTCACATATGATGGGTTCAAGTCGATATCACTGTTTCGAAAGTGGCATGTAGCGTGATGCAGCCTGATGCTTTGGCTTTGAATCTGTAGTCGCTCCTGCCAGATACTGCAAAATTTGAGCGCTTAGCGTCTAAAAATGCATCGAGGATATCTTACAACAATAGCAAGCTTGAAGTCAAGCTCATCTTCTTCACATTGAGCATTGCAATCGTCCTTATGCTTAAGCGTTTGTAAAGAAGTATCGTATTGCAAAAATGAGTTGCTCACATTTTCATTGCACGAAGTAATGACACCCATAATTTTTTCAATGATCAGCGCTTATTGCTTGATTTCGCGAAAACTCATTCGGCTTAAGCGCTTGAAGTTGAAGCACCTGTTGTGCAACACAAAAATAAAGAAGGACTGAAAGGAGGAGTACCTTGGCAATCATTGTTTTCTGAAATAAAGGTCAACACAATCAAGCTAATTTCCCCTTTGTAACATACGTGATTGCTTTGCGTGAGTTTTTTACACTTGCACAACAAGAACACATTTTTCTACTTTGATAAGATTTCAGTGGCAGTCATTTAGAATTAAGGAGTATCGACAATTGGCGTGTTCTTCGATGTTGAGGCATGTTCATGATTACAACATTATAATTAGTAGTCCTGTTACCCACTGGAGACTGGTGAATTTTTAACACACATTTTCAAATATTACGCTGTCCCAAAAGTAGACTACTTTTTTAAATAAATCAAGCACTTTTTTGTGTTTTTGGTAGACTTAGGGTATCATTCAATAGAGCAGATTAAGCTCTACAAAATGATCAACAGGATCTGCCTAAGTTGCATTCCTTGTAAAGTTTGAAGCCAAAAAAAGCTGTTCACGCTTTTTCGAGTAATGCAAAGTTTGTGCGGGTGGATCAAAAAATTCATTATTCAGAGCACTACAAGCGGTAGGGAAAGACTTATAGATGGGCATGATTTACATATAAAATGAGTTGAAATTGATAATGAAGTTGCATCAGGCAGTCCTTAAATACTCAATTTCGTACCATACACTTCCCTGCTTAAACAAAAACAATTTGTCACTATAACTGCATGCACTTGTTTTACCACCCATCGGTAACAGTTTACCGAATGCTCTTCTCAAATATTATAGATTTCAAATTGAATCAGATATATGTTATTGGAAAGCGACATGGTAAGTCTGGCATGACAGCTGTATGCCCTAGATTTGTCGGATCTCTGCTACTACTAGAAGTTAATGTAAACAATGTAAAGCATTTTGGATGTCAAATCGTATTGCAGAAAATCAAATAGGCAAGATAAACATTACATAGTAACAGCGGTGTCCTTTGAATCAGAGAAAAACATGCAATTTTGGATGTATTTACCGAATTGCGATGAGCATGTAGCCCAATATGCCACGTTTTTTGCGGTTACATTGCAAAATTCTGCATACTCCTCTTTCCAATGTGTCGTTCTCCTGTGCCACGAACACAGTGCACAATGATTTGCTGCGCCTCTAATGAGTGCTCATTGTCTAACCACCTTGCTAACACAAAACCGCTCATAATTTTTCAAAAGAAAAACCGCCGCACTTCGCCAGAGTTCACCGTCCGCGGTGTTCGCCATAATTTGCATGAGAATGAAAAAATTCTCCATCCAAGAACCCGCTTGACTCAGCGGGCGAAGCGCATCCTGTGATGAATAGGAGTGCCAATCGTAGGCAGTCAGTTTTCATCAGTTTCTCCAAATTTTGCTTAGAGAATTACCCAGCGTGCTGACAACAACATTAACTTTGATGCTGCTGGTGGGACATCAAAGAGAGGCAGTAGCAAAAATCACTTTGCTCGATTTGCTCCAAAATGTGCTCCGTGTGATTATTGGTGCGCTGTAATCAGTATACCTGTCAAAAAAGCTTAAATTATCTCACAGCTTTGGTAGAAGCTAATTAGAGTGCTTCAACCACTGACAAACAGACTTTAAACTCACTGACTCCAAAAGGATTTTCGAGCCATCTTGAAAGACTTAGCTATGGTAACAAATCTATCGTAAACCGCTCTCAAATGGTAGGAAAACTCAATGATTGAGCTCAGGAAAGAGGCCGCTCACCTGTATATGTTTGGGCCAGAGCATGCATGATGCGGAGTGTGGTAGTGGGGTCCCGCGCTGAACGGTAAGCGAAGTCATCTGAGCTTACGCCAGTTCAAGGGCTATTTTCTCGGCCCATGTGGAACATCAACCAGCCGGACTGCGCCCTGGAAGTCAGTGGAATGACCAGGAATCAAAATCGGGTCATTTGATTTTTTCTCGTTTCACGCTCTGAACTCGCCAGTGGGTTTTGGTCGAAATGTTGATGACCTCGGTTTGGAAGGATACTTCGCTCATAGAGATTTTGAACACGCTGTTTATGAAAATCGTGGTCTCTGTCAAGTATAGGCTTTTTTTTGCAGAGATATAGTGAAGTAACTGCAAGAAAGTCATGAAAGCTTGTAAAATCGCCTGCATCTCTCGCGTATCTATCAGAAAACCTGTCTGACTGCTTCTGAAGGTTGAATTTGATAGGAATTGTGCCATCGAACGGTGCATGTCTCCAGCTCCAGTGTATAAAATTGCCAAGTTACACGCCTACGAAAACACGTCCTTATGCATTCGCCCAAAATGTAAAGATCGCACACTTCGTCGAAATTTCACTGTGACTGGTTGTATGAAACGCTGATCAAACCTGTTCACATCGCTTAATGGATCGTCTTGTGGATTTGACAGTTAGATAGATCTGACAAGGAGAGCGTGTTTAGTCGAAGTGGCGTTTTCAGATGAGACCCACACTGCTTTAAAGAGTATTGCACGGTGATTCCAAATTTGCCTTCCAAATCTGCCAAGAGCCTCTGGATGCCGAGTTATGACCGTTTTTTGGAACGAAAAATGATTGCGAAACTGGAACAAAATCGCCCAAATTGCTCAAATGGTCCACTGTTAAGTATCAGAACCTTTATGGAATGGATACGTCTAGTATACTACTACTTAACGCTTATGTGAGAGCCGGAAAGATCAATCAACACAATTTTACCTAAATTCTGCATTCAGTTTTCGTTCCAAAAAACGGTCATAACTCGGCATCCAGAGGCGCTTGGCAGGTTTGAAAGGCAAATTTGGAATCACCGTGCAGTACTCTTTAAAGCAGTGTGGGTCTCATCTGAAAACGCCACTTCGACTAAACACGCTCTCCTTGTCAGATCTATTTAACTATCAGATCCATAAGACGATCCATAAAGCGATGTGAACAGGTTTGATCAGCGTTTCATACAACCAGTCACAGTGAAATTTCGACGAAGTGTGCGATCTTTACATTTTGGGCGAATGCATAAGGACGTGTTTTCGTAGGCGTGTAACTTGGCAATTTTATATACAGGAGCTGGAGACATGCACCGTTCGATGGCACAATTCCTATCAAATTCAACCTTCAGAAGCAGTCAGACAGGTTTTCTGATAGATACGCGAGAGGTGCAGGCGATTTTACGAGCTTTCATGACTTTCTTGCAGTTACTTCACTATATCTCTGCAAAAAAAGCCTATACTTGACAGAGACCACAATTTTCATAAACAGCGTGTTCAAAATCTCTATGAGCGAAGTATCCTTCCAAACCAAGGTCATCAACATTTCGACCAAAACCCACTGGCGAGTTCAGAGCGTGAAACGAGAAAAAATCAAATGACCCGATTTTGATTCCTGGTCATTCCACTGACTTCCAGGGCGCAGTCCGGCTGGTTGATGTTCCACATGGGCCGAGAAAATAGCCCTTGAACTGGCGTAAGCTCAGATGACTTCGCTTACCGTTCAGCGCGGGACCCCACTACCACACTCCGCATCATGCATGCTATCCAAAGCAATAGTTACAGGCAGCAAGGTCTTCGTGCCAGGGCCTCTCAACTTTACACTGAAATTCTCGTCCAAGCTGACCTTTGGAAATTGGGTAAACTCCCCGAAAAGGTCTTTTCGCCCGCTTTAAAGCTTATATTCGGGTAAGGAAAGAAAAGACCCAAAACATGCAAAAAGATGGAAATGCAAAATCTGCATGGTATGCATTTCGTGCTGATCTGCCACTCCAACTCCGCGAGCCTCCCTTGTTAGTAGAAAATTCTGGTGGAAGTAACTTTGACCACCCTAGATGTATATTTGAGGAATGGATTTTGGTCTTTCGCATGCTTTGAATAACAGGCTTTGGGCAGGGAAAAGGAGTGGGAATCGTGAATTAACGCTTCCCTTTGGGAAAGAGCCAGGAAGCCCACGGAGAAGAGCTGCTCAACTGGAAATAAGTAAAATATGAGAGGGGAGAGGAGGGATAGAGAGAGGAGCTCAAGATAGAACACCTGTTTAAGAAAGAATTCTGCGCGGAAGGGACTTTGGGCACTCTAGGCAAGAAGGGATTTGGGGTTGGTTACAGTAGCTTCGAGCAGGAAAAGGACTGGGTACCATGGAATTAGCGCTTCCCTCCAAAAATGGTGTGAAACTGGCGGAGAAGAGAATGGTCACAAAATGGAGTTTCGCATGCATCGGCTACAGTAGCTTTGCGCCGTGAGAAAGAGCGAGCACTGTGAAATCATCTTAAAAAGTG